TATCTTAAAATAAATTCCCATTTTTGCTGTCATGTTAATCCCCAAGTATTTAACTTTCTTAACCACTGTTAAACCTGTCTCATTCTGAAACCTCTCTCTTTCAAACGGTGTTAAATTTTTCTCTAAAACCTTGGTTTTTGACTTGTTCAATTTAAATCCTGCCACTTGACCAAATTCTTGAATCAGTTCTAAAACCCTTTTTGTATTAGATTCTGGCTCCTGTAACGTCAATACTAAGTCATCTGCAAATGCTCTCAATTTATAGTGTTTAGTTCCGACCTGTATACCTTTAACCATCTGGTCCCTTCTAATCATATTCAGCAGAACCTCCAGGACCGAAATAAAAAGAAGTGGGGAAATTGGGCAACCTTGTCGTGTCCCTTTTTCATTACCTACCTAGCTTTCCTTCCACCTCAGCCTTGGCCACATTCCCTGCTATCTCCATAGCTAGAAAGTTAGGAAAATGTGACTTACTGTCCTATAATTCTTTTCCTACTACGAAATGCCAAACAGTACGAAAGCACTGGAGCCCAGAGGGGTTGCTCTTAGGAGAAATCAGTTGAGGGATGATTGCAGGAGAGGTTTTGGTGTGTTGGATGTTATGTATATCACTATAATTACTGTAGGATTTGACTCAGAAATGTCAGTGCAGCTAGTTCTTTGGATGAGATTTGTTTTAATGAATTAATTGAAGTTGTTTTTCTCGTATCCTTCCCTTCTTCTCCTAAGAGCCCAGGGAGACTAACGACCATCATGGGAAAAGAAAACGACTTCAAAATCACCATTTAAAATCACCAATGCACATTAAAATGTTGTCTGTTATGCAGATTTGAATTCCCATGTGTCACAAGTGGAAAATTGTTGAAGCACCATCAGCTAGAATGGGGAAGCCTTGATGAAATGAGGTGTGGCCACGGAACGAGTAATTAAATTTCGGATTATATCTGTCCCTCGTAAATATTAATCTTTCCTTCGTTTAAATAATGAATGTCACTATCTTCAACAAAATCCCCAGGATGTCTCTAGCCCTCGTGCTATTTGTTTCGTTCCTGCCCAAAGAACGTGTAAAATAGGCCACAAAATGCTTGCAACCCCTCAAAGATAAATTTCGCATGGATATAATTTTAGACTCACTGTCAGGAAGGCTTTGTTTTATAAAACTATAAAAGGAGAAAGAATAGAAAGACCTGTGAAGTGGGAAGATGTTAAGGGGGGGAGGAGTCATTTTGGACTCACAGCTGTCCATGAAGGCGCAGGTTAATTCTGTGTCCAGGGCGGTTGTCTACCAGATCCGTCTGGTACGCAGGCTAAGACCCTACCTTCCCGCGGACTGTCTTGCCAGAGTGCTGCATGCTCTGGTTATCTCCCGCTTGGACTACTGCAATGCGCTCTACATGGGGCTACCTTTGAAGGTGACCTGGAAACTGCAATTAATCCAGCTAGACTGGTGACTGGGAGTGGCCGTCGGGACCACAGAACACTGGTCCTGAGAGATCTGCATTGGCTCCCAGTACGTTTCCCAGCACAATTGTGGGGTTTTCACTGCCAAACATTTCAGGGCGTCTTTTGCAAGTGTTTGACGCCGCTTTTGAGGGAACCCCAACGACATCAGGTTTTCGGTGAAACTGTGACCCCCACAGATTAGAGTGCCAAGGGCTCATTTTGTGGGGCGCCGTGAAATGTGGGGGGTTTTGCCAACAAACATTGTAGGGAGACTTTTGCCTGTGTTTGGCGCCGCTTTGGAGGGAATCAGACCATGTCAGCTTTTCGGAGAAACCGTGAAACCCATGGGTTAGGGCACTGAAGGCTCATTTAGTGAGGTGCCGCAAAACATGTGGTTTTCGCCACTAAACATTGCATGGAAAATTTTGCCAGTTCTTGATGCTACTTTGGAGTGAATCAGATGACGTCGAGTTTTGGGGCTCATTTTTGGGGGCATGATGAAACTAGGTTTTTACCACAAATGTTGGAGGGAAACTTTTGTCTGCGTTTGGTGCTGCCCTGGAGTGAACCAGATGCATAGCTCTCAACTTACAGATTTGAAAGTAAGGGACCAGCAGCCTTGAAAATAAGGGATCAGCAGCCAAAGTAAAGGATTTTGCTTAGCTTATACAGAAATCCGCCACTGATGGAGCCATGCTGCTTTTGCTGCCACTGACTGTGTTTTGCAGGGGGTTGGACTAGATGACCCTAAGGGTCTACAACTCCGACCAAAGAAGAGGGGCAGACAAAACTGATGAACGATGTCGAGATGGCAAAGCTTACAGGCAGAATTAGAAACCAGGAAGAGGACCTCTTTAATAAAGAATGGGGAAAGTTTATAATTTAGTTGAAAAGCTATTGTAAAGAGTAACATACATTGGGAGGATTGACAGAAAACTTGTAGTAAAAATTTGAACTATGGATGGACAAATGATTTATAAAAATAGAGTCATGAAAGGGATGCAGAGGGGGAAATGACTACATTAAGATGCTGCACTGGTTGGAGGGTATGCTAAGCAGCACGTCGGGGCTGCCATCGTCCTGGCGCGAGGAGTTCCATCGGCCCTTCCCCGCCCGAGAGAGAGGGAGAGACTCTCGCCCACGCCGCCCGCGAGCCCGGCATGAGGCGGTTGCGGCGCCACCCGCCGCCCTTCTGCATCCCTCCCCATCCCCTCTTCTTCCTCCTCCTTCAGGCCACCTCCTCAGCCGCCGCTGCTGCCTCCAGCTTCCCTTGGCAGCGCGGCGGAAGTCTCGCAAGAGAGGGGCTCCCTGCCCGCCCGCCACCACCTGTCTCCTCACGACGCGCCCCTGAGGGGGAAAAGGGAGACACAGAGATGCGGCAGCTCGTGCGCGCGCTCTCTCTCTCGCTCTCTTGAGGCAGAGGACCCCGAGCCGCTGCTTCCCTCCTGAGCCGGGCGAGCATGAAACCCGGGAAATTTAAGGGACATCATCAATCCGGGACAGCAACGGGACACGGTGCTGGGATAAGGGAGTTTCCCGCCAAATAAGGGACAGTTGACAGCTATGACCAGATGACGTCAGAGTTTTGGTGAAACCGTGACACTGCAGGTTAGGATGCCTAGGGCTCATTTTCGGGGTGCGGTGAAACTTGGGGTTTTTACTACCAAACGTTGAATTGAGACGTTTGCCTGCATTCGGTGCCGCTTTGAAGTTAATCAGACAATGTGCCCGTGTTGGCTGGGGCGCTGAACACTCATTTTGTGGGGTGCCGTGAAGGATGGACTTTTCACTGTCAAACAGTGCAGGGAGCCTTTTGCACTTGTTTTGCGCTGGTAGCAAAATGAAACGACAGGTAGCCTTTCATGGGAACAACTCCAAATCATCACGTAATTTGGAGTGAGGCATCGCCTATTTTTATTTTTGGACTGCAATTTTGTGCAAGCATGGTAGATCACAAGAGGTGTATGTGCACATGTGAACAAATGCCCACGGATCTCAGGTTTCCTGGCTTGGAGCAACACACACACACACACATGGCTGCTGTTTTGTGCAAAGCTGGTAGATTGAGAAACTTGTATTTTTTATTTTTATTCCCTACCTTTACTCATTGTATACATATGACTGTATTTCATCTGTTCCATCTACTACAATTATTAAGTTTGCAGATGATACTACCACAATGGGTCTAATTACAGGTGGAGATGAATCAGCGTACAGGGAGGAGGTTCAAAAAGTATCTACATGGTGCCTAGAGAATAACTTGCACCTAAATATTAGCAAGACAAAGGAGGTGGTGTTGGACTTTCGGAGGAAGAGAGGGGAACTAGCCCCATTGTATATCGGGGGGGTGGGTTGTGTGGAGAGAGTCTCTTCTTTTAAATTCCTGGGAGTTTACCTTAGTGAAGTTCTCACTTGGAAAAACAATATAACTCAGGTGGTTAAGAAGGCCCAACAGAGACTCAATTTCCTCAAGGTCTTGCGAAAGAACAATGTTAAACAACAATTGATGACCTCCTTCTACCGGTCCACAATAGAAAGTGTCCTCTCATATTGTGTCACAGTGTGGTACGTTGGCTTGACACCATGGATAGAAAGTCTTTACAGAGGGTGGTAAACACAGCACATATCATGGACTGTCCCCTGAGCCCGCTAGATGACATCGCAAGGGATCGATGCCTTAGGAGAGCGAGAAAAATGGAAAATATTTAAGGATTATATAAGATCATATTGTACCAACCACACCATATTAGCAGAACTTGAGTGATACTTGTAAACACAACAAATACCATTTGTGGAGTAGACGGGAACAATATTAAAGAATATAAAACTGTGCGGAAAAACGACAGTATAAACAGTACAATGATAATGATTGGAAGACTCGTTTGGTCAGAAGTCTGTTTTATTTAAGTATTAATTAGGAAGATTAAGTTTTTTATGCATGTAAATCTGCTTTTTCTTCTTTCTTCTTTCTGTATTTTCTTCTTTTCTTTTTTTCTTAATTGTTTTTTTCTTTTTGTAGTATGAGATTGTAAATTCTTTGTATATGTGTGTAATTTAACCTAATAAAGATTTTATTTTAATTTTTTAAAAAAGGAGAGCGAGAAAAGTTCTCAGGGACGATTAAAGAGGCCAGCACCTCTTTAATCTTCTACCCTCAGACAGGAGATATAGAAGTATAATCAGTCGTACCAACAGGCTCAAAAACAGATTCTATCTGTGGGCTGTTAGGCTGCTGAACGGAAAATAATATAGTGCAACTGACTTTCGGGGTTGGTGTGTTGTGCGACAAGCACACAGAGTGCAGTGAGATTGTTTGTGGGGGGGGAGGGTCAGTTAATTTCATTGTACACAGGTTGTACCTTGACAATAAAGGTATTATTATTATATAAAAAATAGCTAAACTAAAGGGGTGTGCTTACAGGTAAACAGATACCAGTGTGCTTGCTCATTATAACATCAGGCAAGAAACAAGAAAATACAGTTGGTCCCTCTTAACTGACATTCTTAACTGAACAGAACTGAAGGGAGGGGCTGGTTCTGGAGCAAAGCTGTTTAGATTGGGTTTGGGTGGATGTGAGGAGGATGCCTCAAACATCTTGGGCTTTGCTTCTCAACTTATTCTGCCTTCTGGGACCCCCCAGCCCAACACCAACCACCTCTTGGATAGGTGAGCATGCAGATATTTTGGAATCTGAGTGTGGGGCAAGATGACCGCGTATGAAAGCTCATTTTAGCACAAGTGCTGGCCCCTTGGTTTCCTACCTCTCCCCACTCTTGGCTGGCCAGAGAACGCATCTGGTTGCACTAGACTCTGAACGGACAATCACAAGCTGGCCAGCTCCTTGTTCAGGGTCTCCAAGAGAGAGAAAAGGGAACCTCAGTTACTATTTGCCTTCTGGGGCCAATGTCTCACTCCCAGAGCAGCAATACTTACGGCTGCTGCACAACAGCCTCAGGACATTCAAGGGATCGTGACCCATCCAGATCAAAGCACACAAGCCCTGCCCACCAGATACCAAGCACTCTACTGGGAAATTATGGGTTTTTTAATTGGCTGAACAATTAGAATTTCAGACCTTGGGGAATTTGATTTCTTAAACATACACCTTCCTCTACCTTGTGTCCCTGCTGAGGAAAGCCAGTCCTGGCTTTCTTCCTTTGAATTGCTGAATCATGAACTCTGTACATGCACAGAGGCTATATCCCTTGAAGGCATGACCAAAGCCAAAGTAAAACCCCAAAGATGAGCAAGATGGGGCATATCTCTCCAGGGAGTGTTGCCACCTGGCTCGATGGGATATTGCTTAAGGCCAATGAAAGCCCAAGCAGGGATTCCTAATGGGGGAAGTTGCTGTCATATACTAGAGGAGCAGGATCAGGAGGCTAACTTGGACGCCTGAGAACAGAAAAAAGCAGCATCAAAACAACTACATTTTATATATATATATAAAATTATTATTGGTTTTCACACTTATCACATAAAAAAAAGAAAAACAAGAAAAAAGAAAAACATTACCACACACAAAAAACAAAGAAAAACACATAAAAATAAATTTTAACTTCCTGACTTCCTTGAATCCCCTCTAACTGAATTTCATTATATCACCTATTTAGCAGTTCTCCAAATTCATATTTCTAATAATATTAACTTCTTTCATTTACTAACTTCTTCTCCTTTATTAATATTCTAATCCTTAATATTTATATTTGTTTTTGGGGGACAGGGAGCGGGTTATTATTACAATAATCCTGCCAGGGTTCCTATCTGTTTACAATTTGTCTGCAATTATTCAATAAACCATTTCCATTCTTTTATAAAAAGTCTGTTCTCTTGCTCCTAGAAACGGTCAGCATACAACAGAGACTGCATCCTGGGAACAGCTTCGACTGGCCACCTAAACCAGGTGAGGGCGGCCAAGGAGTCTCAAATGCTCAGTGAGTTTGGAACTTCCCCTGTGTGCAAAGACCGGCTCTGGCAGATTGAGCAGACGAGACCAAGCGTGGGCCCAGTGGTCAAGAAGGTGGTTTCTGCATGTGCTGTGAAGGGGAATTAGGGGCAGATGGGGCTCACCAACCTAGAAAGGTAGCCCATTGAGGAGAAGGAAAACTTATCCTAATTTGCCTTGTGGGATATCTTCGGGAGCTGAAAAGGCTAAGGAAAACCCTACACAAATCTGGAGTGGAGTAACTCAGGCGGTTGGATGGCGCCGTTTACAACCCCTTCTGACAACTCCTGCAGCCCAACTGGTGCCTAACTCTGCTTTCCTTGGAGCCACATCTGCAAGGCCAAGAGAGGGAGTCTTGTCATCTGGGAAGCCCAGGACCTCCAGACACACTGCCTGGGCTTGCTCTCTGGAGAGGTCACTTTGGGACTGCTAACATCGTTGCTTGACGTTTGACCGCACTCCGCTGCTTCTCGAGACAGACAAATGCCAACATTAAAAAACTATTTGAAAGAATTTTATTTCGTTCACAAAAGACAATCTGGCATGTGATTAGGATAAAGGTTTTCAGACAACGGGTGACACGTTTATTGATCCAGCTTGGAAGTCTCTGTCTTGTCTTCGCACATGCGCAGTTCCATCTAGGAGCAACAACAAGGGAAGGAGCCAAACTGTCGACTCCTGCAGCGAGACTCAGGATTTCCACCCATGCTCACAAATGTAGGAAAAAGCACCCCATAGGACAAAAGGATGATCACAGACTAGCATGTTCATAAGGGAACTTTATTAGAATAATAATATTTATTTATTTATTTCTCTATTTGGGTTTGTAGGAAAGGGGGAACTGGGTCTTGGTGGGGGAGGGAGATCTGTGCTAGAGCTGCTGGCCTCACTGTTGTGGCTTCCTTGAAAAGAAAAGAAAAGATTTTTAATTTTCCCATTTATTATTACGTTGATAGCCCATCTTTCCTGCAAGGATCTCCAGGTAGCTAACACTATTCTCCCTGCCTCATCCCATCCCCACAACAGCTCTGTGAGGTAGATCAAGAGGCAGTGAGTACCCAAGGCCACCCATTAAGTTCCATGGGTGAGGCGGGATTTGAATCCGGGTCCCCCAGTCCTAGTCCAGCAGTCTAAGTTGCGTTGCCAACCCTTTGAACTCATGGGCAGAGCTGCAAACCTGAGAGACTGCAGTGAGCGCTACACCATAATGGAAAAGGATAGAATTAAAGAGAAATTGTTCTCTCTCTTCTTCAAAAGGGATGTCCCTGAAGTCTTCTTGAACGCTGAATTGTTGGACAATCTTGAATTGTTGGACAAAAGCACCCCCAAGGATAAAATCATGATCAAAGACTTTATTAGAATAACAATAGAAATAATTATTAATTTATTTTTCTAACTGGATTTCTGGGGAAGGGGAACTGCGCAAAGGCAGGGGGAGAGCTGTGCTGGAGCTTATGGCCTCACTGCTGTCACTGCCTGGAAGAGAAAAGAAGAAAAAGGATTCTTAATATTTTCATTTATGAAGATCAACACTCACCACTGGTAGAAGCACTGGTGGCATCCATCCCCTGGTCTCTTGGTCTCACATAAATTGTTCGCACTTTAATCTTTCTTCCATTTCTATCACGCATTCCTCCTTCAAACAGTCCAGGGGATGGATTTTGATGGAACGGCAACAGGAGGCCAACAGTTCACCCAGCCTGCGCAGACTGCGGAATCTGGGGAAGAAGAGGGGAAATAGTCAGGAAATTGCTTCTAGTTACTTCCCTGATACTCTCTATCTCTGTGCTGAATTTGGTTCTCTATGTTTCTAAATCTTGAGGGATAGCATAAGAAGCAGAATGCAGAAAGAATGTGGAATCCTACTTACACTTTAGATGAAGAAAGTCTCTTCCTTGCACTAGAAAACATGTTTGCTTCCTCAAAAACGTCCTCCTCTCACATGGACTCTCAAATAATTGTTCTTCCCAAAGTCTTCATCCCATTCCTGAACTCTTCTTGAATAAGGGAGCTGCCTCTCCCCCACCCCCCTTCAGTGAGACAGATTCTCTCCGGCCTCCCTGTTCCTCATGAACAAAGATCAGCACTCACCATCCATGTTGGTATCGGTGGCATCCATCCCCTGGTCCCATGGTTTTACATATATCCTTTGGATTTTCACATTCTCCACCTTCTCGTTCTTTATGATGTTCACCTCCTCTCATTCATCCTTCTCACAGACCAGGGGATGGATCTTCGGCATGCGACATGGAGCCTTCTCAGACTTTGAAACCTAGGGAAGAAGAGGGAAAATAATCAGGGAATGGGTTCTAGATGCTTCCTTGATACTCTCTATCTTTCCTTTCCTTTCTCCATCACCATCACAGTCTCCTCCTCCTCACAGTCCAGGGGATGGATCTTAGTGGCACGACAGCAGGAGACAGATCAACACTCACCACTGGTAGAAGCACTGGTGGCATCCATCCCCTGGTCTCTCGGTCTCACATAGATGGTTCTCACTTTAATCCTCCTTCCTTCTACCACTACGCTTTCCCCCTTCAAACAGTCCAGGGGATGGATCTTAGTGGCACGACAGCAGGAGACAGATCAACACTCACCACTGGTAGAAGCACTGGTGGCATCCATCCCCTGGTCTCTCGGTCTCACATAGATGGTTCTCACTTTAATTCTCCTTCCATCTACTATGACGCTTTCTTCCCTCATACAGTCCAGGGAATGGATTCTGATGGAACGGCAACCGGAGGTGAGCAGCTCTCAAATCCTGCGCAGACAGGAAGATCTAAGGAAGAAAAGGAAGAAGGTCAAGAGGGCACACTCTTTGGTTAGGAAGGGTGCAACCACAAAGCGTGTTTTGTTGGAGGCAAGAAGGCAACATCGGTTGGCTCTCCCACCACATCTGGGAGCCTTGCGACCACCATCAAGCTCTGCTCCAGGCGTCAGGTGACCTGGGATTTCCACCCATGCCCACAACTGTTGGACAAAAGCACCCCCAAGGAATAACAATAGAAATATTTATTAATTTATTTTTCTAACTGGATTTCTGGGGAAGGGGAACTGGGCAAAGACGGTGGGAGAGCTGTACAGGAGCTTCTGGCCTCACTGCTGTCACTGCCTGGAAGAGAAAAGAAGAAAAAGGATTCTTAATATTTTCATTTATGAAGATCAACACTCACCATTGGTAGAAGCACTGGTGGCATCCATCCCCTGGTCTCTCGGTCTCACATAAATTGTTCGCACTTTAATCTTTCTTCCATTTCTATTACGCATTCCTCCTTCAAACAGTCCAGGGGATGGATTTTGATGGAACGGCAACAGGAGGCCAGCAGCTCTCGAATCCTGTGCAGACCGGAACATCTAGGGAAGAAAAGGAAGAAGGTCACGAAATGGATTCTAGTTATTTCCTCGATACTCTCTATCTCTGCACTGCAAGCCATTTTCCTCAAAGCATCTAAGGGGGCCCTGAGGACAATCTTTAAAAATAAATCTAACCATGACCTGGTTCCCTATGTGTCTAAATCTTAAGGGATAGCAAAAGAAACAGACTGTGGAAAGAATAAGAGATCCTACTTACAAGCAAGATGAAGAAATCTTCATTTCGTCCCAAAACACAAGTCAGAAACCAACTCCTCTCTCACTCACTAAACTCAAATAGTTGCTCTTCCCAAAGTTCTCAGCCAAGTCACTCAGCAGGGGACATGTCACAATGAAGGACATGACACGATTACTTTCGCTACATTGCTTAACAATGGGCATTGTTCCCCTTAACATTTATTTTTCAAATATATCTTCCAGTGGGTTAAGCGGTTTTATTCAATTTATTTAGAAAAGATCTAGAGCTGTCTTCATCCAGCAAGATGCATTTCTGGACAGGACAGGAAACACCTTGCAAACACACACACTTTTCAATATGGCGGGGTCACCAATGGAAAACTCTTCTGGCCTAGACTCCCTTCTGGCCTATTTTTTTCAGTCCTTTTCCGTATTGAGATAATAATAACATTGATAATAGAAATAGTAACAATAATATTAGCACCGTTCATGCCACCTGCTAGCACAACCGAACAAAAAGGGGTCATTTCCCCACCTGGCACACGTAAGGGCACGGCAAGGGGCGCTCCTAGCCAAGCTGTGCAGATGGCTAAAAAGATTAAGAAGAGGTGCAATCTTCGGTTAGGAAGCGTGCCTCCACAAAACCTGTTTCTGATGGAGGCAAGAAGGAAACATTGGTTGGCTCTCCCACCGCATTTGGAAGCCTTGCGACCACCATCAAGCTCTGCTCCAGGCGTCAGGTGACCTGGGATTTCCACCCATGCCCACAACTGTTGGACAAAAGCACCCCCAAGGAATAACAATAGAAATATTTATTAATTTATTTTTCTAACTGGATTTCTGGGGAAGGGGAACTGGGCAAAGACGGTGGGAGAGCTGTACAGGAGCTTCTGGCCTCACTGCTGTCACTGCCTGGAAGAGAAAAGAAGAAAAAGGATTCTTAATATTTTCATTTATGAAGATCAACACTCACCACTGGTGGAATCACTGGTGGCATCCATCCCCTGGTCTCTCGGTCTCACATAAATCGTTCGCACTTTAATCTTTCTTCCATTTCTATCACGCATTCCTCCTTCAAACAGTCCAGGGGATGGATTTTGATGGAACGGCAACAGGAGGCCAGCAGCTCTCGAATCCTGTGCAGACCGGAACATCTAGGGAAGAAAAGGAAGAAGGTCACGAAATGGATTCTAGTTATTTCTTTGATACTCTCTATCCCTGCACTTCAAGCCATTTCCCTCAAAGCATCTAAGGGGCCCCTGAGGACAATCTTTAAAAACAAATCTAAGCATGACCTGGTTCCCTATGTGTCTAAATCTTAAGGAATAGCTAAAGAAACGGGAAAGAATAAGAGATCCTACTTACAGACGAGATAATGGTTTCATTTTTTCCCAAACCACAATTCACTTCTCACACTTTCCCTCTCTCACTCAATCTAATAGTTGCTCTTCCCAAAGTTCTCAGCCAAGTTACTCAGCAGGGGACGTGTCACAATGGAGGACATGACACGGTTACTTTAGCTACCTTGCTTAACAATGGGCATGGCCTCACAGCTGTTACTGCCTGGAAGAGAAAAGAAGAAAAAAGATTCGTAATATTTTCATTTATGAAGATCAACACTCACCACTGGTAGAAGCACTGGTGGCATCCATCCCCTGGTCTCTCGGTCTCACATAAATTGTTCGCACTTTAATCTTTCTTCCATTTCTATTACGCATTCCTCCTTCAAACAGTCCAGGGGATGGATTTTGATGGAACGGCAACAGGAGGCCAGCAGCTCTCGAATCCTGTGCAGACCGGAACATCTAGGGAAGAAAAGGAAGAAGGTCACGAAATGGATTCTAGTTATTTCCTTGATACTCTCTATCCCTGCACTTCAAGCCATTTCCCTCAAAGCATCTAAGGGGCCCCTGAGGACAATCTTTAAAAACTAATCTAACCATGACCTGGTTCCCTATGTGTCTAAATCTTAAGGGATAGCAAAAGAAACAGACTGTGGAAAGAATAAGAGATCCTACTTACAAGCAAGATGAGGAAATCTTCATTTCGTCCCAAAACACAAGTCAGAAACCAACTCCTCTCTCACTCACTAAACTCAAATGGTTGCTCTTCCCAAAGTTCTCAGCCAAGTTACTCAGCAGGGGACGTGTCACAATGAAGGACATGACACGGTTACTTTAGCTACCTTGCTTAACAATGGGCATGGCCTCACAGCTGTTACTGCCTGGAAGAGAAAAGAAGAAAAAAGATTCGTAATATTTTCATTTATGAAGATCAACACTCACCACTGGTGGAATCACTGGTGGCATCCATCCCCTGGTCTCTCGGTCTCACATAAATCGTTCTCACTTAAATATTTCTTCCATCTACCACCATGCTTTCCTCCTTCCAACAGTCCAGGGGATGGATTTTGATGGCAACAGGAGGCCAGCAGATCACCCAGCCTGCGCAGACCGGAACATCTAGGGAAGAAAAGGAAGAAGGTCACAAAATGGATTCTAGTTATTTCCTCGATACTCTCTATCTCTGCACTGCAAGCCATTTTCCTCAAAGCATCTAAGGGGGTCCTGAGGACAATCTTTAAAAATAAATCTAACCATGACCTGGTTCCCTATGTGTCTAAACCGTAAGGGATAGCCAAAGAAACAGACTGTGGAAAGAATAAGAGATCCTACTTACAGACGAGATGAAGAAATCTTCATTATGTCCACAAACACACTCTCACTAAATTCACTCTCTCACTAAATTCTCACACTAAATTTAGAAATAGCTAAAGAAATGGGAAACCATCAAGCTCTGCTCCAGGCGTCAGGTGACCTGGGATTTCTACCCATGCCCACAACTGTTGGACAAAAGCACCCCCAAGGAATAACAATAGAAATATTTATTAATTTATTTTTCTAACTGGATTTCTGGGGAAGGGGAACTGGGCAAAGGCGGGGGGACAGCTGTACTGGAGCTTCTGGCCTCACTGCTGTCACTGCCTGGAAGAGAAAAGAAGAAAAAGGATTCTTAATATTTTCATTTATGAAGATCAACACTCACCACTGGTGGAATCACTGGTGGCATCCATCCCCTGGTCTCTCGGTCTCACATAAATCGTTCTCACTTAAATATTTCTTCCATCTACCACCATGCTTTCCTCCTTCCAACAGTCCAGGGGATGGATTTTGATGGCAACAGGAGGCCAGCAGATCACCCAGCCTGCGCAGACCGGAACATCTAGGGAAGAAAAGGAAGAAGGTCACAAAATGGATTCTAGTTATTTCCTCGATACTCTCTATCTCTGCACTGCAAGCCATTTTCCTCAAAGCATCTAAGGGGGTCCTGAGGACAATCTTTAAAAATAAATCTAACCATGACCTGGTTCCCTATGTGTCTAAACCGTAAGGGATAGCCAAAGAAACAGACTGTGGAAAGAATAAGAGATCCTACTTACAGACGAGATGAAGAAATCTTCATTATGTCCACAAACACACTCTCACTAAATTCACTCTCTCACTAAATTCTCACACTTTAATCTTTCTTCCATTTCTATTACGCATTCCTCCTTCAAACAGTCCAGGGGATGGATTTTGATGGAACGGCAACAGGAGGCCAGCAGCTCTCTCAACCTGCGCAGACTGGAGCATCTAGGGAAGAAAAGGAAGAAGGTCACGAAATGGATTCTAGTTATTTCCTCAATACTCTCTATCTCTGCACTGCAAGCCATTTCCCTCAAAGCAGCTAAGGGGCCCTGAGGACAATCTTTAAAAACAAATCTAAGCATGACCTGGTTCCCTATGTGTCTAAATCTTAAGGAATAGCTAAAGAAATAGGGGGAAGAATAAGAGATCCTACTTACAGACGAGATGGTTTCATTCTTTCCCCAAAACACAATTCACTTCTCCCTCTTTCCCTCTCTCACTCAACTCTAATAGATGCTCTGTCCAAAGTTCTCGGCCAACCAATCAGCAGGGGACGTGTCACAATGGAAAACATGACTCCGTTACTTTAGCTACCTTGCTTAACAATGGGCATTGCTCCCCTTAATATTTATTTTTCAGATATATCTTCCAGTGGGTTAAGTGGTTTTATTCAATTTAGAAAAGAACTAGAGCTGGCTTCAGCCAGCACGGTGCATTTCTGAACAGGACACGAAACACGGTGGAAGTCTTTTTTTAAAAAACCACACACTTTATTTAAGGTAGATAAGGACAAGATGAAATTATACAATTGAATATAAATATAGATGGGAAATGACTATGTATTGTGAGTACTTATCTACTTTTTAAAAATTTCACCTATGATCTTTTTCTTTTACTTCTTTATTTTTCTTTTTCCTTTTTCTGATATCTTATCTTTCATTTCACTGCTTTATTGTGAATAGCATTTTATAGAGGTATAAATAACTGTAAATATGAAAAGAGACAAAATATTCTCTATTTTTTTCCCCCTTGGTTATATGTATTTTCTTTTTCTTTTGTGTTTTCTTTTGTTGTAAATATGTATGTTTTCTAATTTGTACTTAATAAAAATATTTAAAATTAAAAAAGGGAGAAAAAAGAAACACCTTGCAAACACACACACTTTTCAACATGGCGGAGTCACCAAGGGACAACCCTTCTGGGCTAGACTATGGATGCTGTTTCTCACTTAATAGTTAAAAATAATCCTTCTCAACACCCTGTAGTAATCTGTCCAGTATTATGATGGACAGGAGCAGGACTTCACCCTTAGACCTCCTCATCCCCCTGTTTCTTTCAGTTTCTGCCCAGTGTGTTCTGCCAATAACCAGCTTTCCTTAGGTTGCAAGGAATTGAAATGTCATGAGTTTGTGGGTGCCAGACTCCCCTTTGCCATGAGTTTGTGGGTGCCAGGCACTGAACCCCTGGACACTGAACATCTGGGGAGTTGATCTAAGCCTTGTTTAAATTTACCCAGTGCTTTTTTCTGGGGGGGATGCAGGGGTACATATACCCCTAAACATTTTGTGAATCTAACAGGAGAAGAAACAAAGATTTTAGAATTTCTTCATTTCTTCTCTAGTACGGTGAATCGTCAGTTCCAAAGCTGCCCCTCATTTCCATTCCCGGTGTTTCCTGAGTCTTAGACGGAAGCGAGCATTTAATGTGTGGAATGGGGATGTGTGGTGTTTTAGCGATGAAAGTTTGGCCTCATTGAGGGACAGTATTTTAATATGAGTAGGAAAAATACAAACTATTTTTCATCAACACAGCCAGAAAAGAAGTGTAAAGTTAATGAGGACTCTGTAAAAACAAAAGATGGGACAACGGTGTTGTGTAATATGAAGTAATGCATGTTCTTTGTACTTTTGTCTATTTACTGTTTTTATTTTCCTCAATTTGAACTGTAAAGTGGTGATTTCCTCAAGTCAAAATGAGAGTACCCCTAAACATTTTTAAAGAAAAAAAGCACTGAATGCTCCCCAAGCTCTTCGTTTGATTGTTGGTTATTAAAAACTGATTGAAACCATTTTATTTCATTCACAAAAGAAAATCTGACATGTGATTATGATAAAGGTTTATATAATAAAGGTGACACGTTTATTGATCCTTTTTGTAAGTTGTTTTTTGTCTGCTTTAATGTATTCTTTATATATAGTAATAACGGGGTGGGAAACAGTTTTGAATATGAAACTGGTGGGTGGCTGTCATTAATCCAGATCATTTTCATAGAATCAGAGAATCTGAGCGTTGGAAGGTACCCAGGGGTCATCTAGTCTAACCCCCTGCAATGCAAGAATCTCAGCAAAAGCATCCATGGCAGATGACCATCCAAGCTCTGCTTAAAAACCTCCATGGAAGAAGAGTCCATGGAGTCCGTGGGAGTCTGTTCCACTGCCAAACAGCTCTTACTGGCAGAAAGTTTTTCCGAATGTTTCGTGGGAATCTCCTTTCTTGTAACTTGAAGCCATGGGTTCGAGTCCTATCCTCCAGAGCAGCAGGAAAAAAGCTTGTTCCCTTTTCCGTGTGACAGCCCTTAAGATATTTGAAGATGGCTGTCAGTCCTCTCAGTCTCCTCTTTTCCAGGCTAAACATACCCAGCTCCTTCAAGCGTTCCTCATAAGGCTTAGTTTCCAGTCCCTTGATCATCTTGGTTGCCCGCCTCTGCACACGTTCCAGCTTGTCAACATCCTTCTTAAATGGTGGTGCCCAGAACTGGACACAGGACTCCAGGTGTGGTCTGACCAAGGCAGGAGAGAGCTGGACTATGACTTTCCTCGATCAGGACCCTGGACTTCCGTTGGTGCAGCCTAGAACAGCGTTAGCATTTTTCTGCTGCTGCACATTCCTTGTGGCCGAGAGTCAGAGTAACACTGGGATCCTTCAGTTCATGGTGTCAACATGACTGTCATTAACTCCAAGCCTCATGGCCATGTCTCTGAAAACACAAACAATCCCATCTTTTCAGAGCCTGCTATCATGGCTTCTTTAATCTTTGTCTATTGCTCCACCATGTGGCTGAATCATATAAAGCACTGACTTTTATATATCTATTTTCACTTCCAAATGTTGCGGGGGGGCCCCTTTTCCCACAGTTTGGCGCCGCTTTGGAGTGAATCGGACAATGATAACTCCAAGAGAAGTAATAATATTGGATGCATTAAGGACATCTCACAATGGGGCAGCAACAGACAAAGAGGAAACCATTCTGTCACACCCCATTTCTGTGCCACTGAAAAACGGCAGCTGTTAAATTTTGGTCTTTTGTCAGCATCTGGTTCTGTAGTTTTTCTGCTTTTTTTTAAGCTCAGATCCTCTTTGGACAATCATTGTCTTTTTTAGCCATATTATATGACAAC